TTTACAGGCTACACAGTTAGCAGCAAAAATCCATTTATCCCTGCTGCTATCTTTTGCTTTCAAATAGAAAAAAAATTGCTCAAGTTCTAAGACAATGGAGAGAAAAATTAAGTGATACTGGCCCTGGGTTCTCTATGTGAAGTTCATGTGTATGCTGGTATGCTGGACAAAAACATTCATGTGTTTCCATTTATGTCTTTTAGGTCACAAAGCATTGCTGATGTGGTTATCGAAGCTTCATTCAGTCCAGACAAAATCACATTGCTCAACAAGGAAGCTAAGATAACCCTCAAACTCTGCTTCAGAGCAAACTTTAAACCTACTGGGCAAAACCATCAAGTGGGTAAGTAGACCTGAAATAACCCATTCAGAGATGGCTTTGCCTCGACAGCTTTAGCTAGAGGTTTTGGTTTGCAGACCAGAAGAAATAAGGATCTTCACTGGATATGCTTAAATTTTCACACATACAATACCTAGGAGTAGTTCATTAGGTGTGGCAGTTTGTTTAGAGCGTCCTTGCTCAGTTCTAGCTGGTGGAGTTCTGATGGAGAACATTGTAATCACTGGGGCATAATGATGGGCTCTGCCTTTACATCTCCCTTCTGTGGATCCTCAGCACACATGGGTTTCATTGAATTGCTGCAAGTTCTAAATGAGCAAGCTACCTACTGTCTATGCCATTGCCTACACAAGTGTGCTTAGTAAAAGCACTGAATATTATTCCTATTACCAAGGAAGAAGAAGAAAACAGGAAAGGAATATACAACTTGTACCCATCATTTTAGCATGGTAGGAGTCTGAAGTGTGTCCCATTGGGTGGGACAGGCAGGCAGGACTGTGGGCAAATGTCAGCAGGAGCTGTCATTCCTCTCTCCCTAGAGACACCAGGTCATCCTGTAGGACCTGTCTGAGGTGCTACATCCTCATTGAAGCCATTTCTAACTAAACAACTAGCTCTGTTATCTCAGTATCTTCTGCAGACAGCAAGCAAAGCAACATGTCATTAAAAGCTGAGTGTTTCCCCTTGCTAATCATTGGGTTCTAATCTCTCCTCCATCAGACCCCAGTTCATTTCAGAACACTTAGTTCCTAGTGGCACTTAATGAAATTGCAAGCAAATTAACTTAAAGGCTGAAAGCAATTGGGTCAGTAGTTTGTCATGATTCATAGCAAGAAATACATGAACAAGGAGAGAAGCAAAAGAGTTATGCAACTGACACGGCTTCCGGGTTTCATCTCAGATGTTCAGACATTGGCCCACCTTTGAATGGCATATGTCACGGGCCTGCCTTGGAGCACACATCCATCTGAATTGCCACCGTAGTTAAGCAGAAAACTGCCACCATATCAACATTTTTAGTCTGCTTAAAAGATTAAAATGGAAAATGTATTCTTGGGCAGATGTGGCTGGCTGCCCAGCTATCTTGGCCCTGAAGCATGAATATTTCTGTGTGTCTTCCACACTTTGAATGTTCTTCATATATTCTGTTGGCACATATTGAAAAACCTGGACTTTCAGAGAATTCCCTTCCAACTGATTGGCTGGTGAGGGTTTGGAGCTTTTCTTGCCATAAGGAACCTTTCCCTTTGACTCTTTATCCTGCTGTGTTCAGTTCTACACTGATGAGCTGGTCATAATTTTTCACTTTGTTACTTGACAATAACGGTACATAAGAATGAACCATATGGTTTAAAACCATATGGTCTATGAAACTATGTATCTATTTTACCAAGCTACTTGAAGAAAACACATGCTGTGTACTAACTTTGTCCTTTTGACAGTTCCACAACCTCTGTTACTAGTTTTCCATATCCATATTTTTTATCATTTACTTTTAATCTTTCCACTCAATTTTTTCTATATCTTTATTGGTTTCATTAAACACAGAAATTTCTCAAGTTTCTTCAATAGATATATTAAAGGCAACACATATATTGTCTTAGGAAATATACTCAACTTAAAATACTGAATAAATCTAATAAAGTAATTCCAAATAAGACAGCTGCTATAACCAGCTGAATTTCTGGCATGTGGCCCATGGACTTTCTTGAAGGCAGCTGGTCTGACTATGTAGATTTTGGTTACTGTCATTATTTTTCATCACATAGTAGTTTTCTATTTCCACTCCCCTGAGTTAATATTAATAATTTCTGATTCCTAGAGAAAGAGAGAATCGAAGAGGGTAAGTAAAGTGCTCAGAGTCAAAGACGTCATAAACTGTAGAATTACTGTTCAATCTAAGAACATCTGGCTCAAACTGCGAGCTGCGATGTTGCAAGTCTTTCTCCACGTAAGCATCTACAGTATGTCAGACACAGTACCTGTTCTTTTAAGTGATCACAGTTAATTCTTTTAATAACATTTAGTTCTTATAATGGCATGGGAATAGAAAGAGCATGAACTTTCATTTCAGAGTGACTCAAATTTTATCTCTTACCTTGTCCTAGCTGAGTGAACTCATGCCAATTATTGTGTTTCATTTAATCTGGTTTGTTCTTTCAACAGTAGCACCAGGATACCAAGTGTCCAGGTTTACTGTAGAGTTGGTAGCATATGAGGATGTGTTCAACTGGAAGCGTTCCATAATGGCAACTTCTTCCCTGTGTGTGCCCCAGGCTATGGCAGATGAAGCTAATACACAGGAAAGGGATCACTTTTCCAGGTTTTTCCAATAGATTTCCTGGGGCAACTGTTGTTTTCAACTGCTGCAAGCTGCATTTCTCTGGCTCTTTCTTTTTTGTATCCTCTTAGATTGAATCACATGAAATTACAAATGCCATATAGTTTCTGCATTTTCTTGATATCAGGCTTTGTCCAATAAGATACAATAAAAAAAAGGCTATCTGTTTTCTTCCTCAGAGCTCACTTGGCATATCTCTTTGTGATTTTGTCATAGCCATCCTGTTTAACATGACACTTGATGCAGACAGATATTCGTCCAGAGTAACCTCCAGGGGGACATTTAGAGAAAACAATGAACGATTCCTGCAGAAGAATGTGATTGTAACCCAAGTACAGAAATGTTCTGAGTACCACATTAGCATACAGGTGAGACATTGGGGTTACCTCTCCCCACCCCTTTCTTCTAAAGGACGAATGAATACAGGAAGTCTGAAATGAGAGTTAGATGTTAGAAAATGCTTGCCTTTCTGGTGGCTGCATTTCTTGTCTAACTCTGTGAACAAGAAGCACATTTTCTATGCTAATACTTATGGTCACAAGGGGGGCTAGAGAGATGGCTGGGCTGGTAAGGATACTTGCTGCATAAGCATTGGGACCTGAATTCAAATCCCTAGCACATATGTAGAAATGCCAAGTGTGACTGTATGTGAGCCTGTAACCCCAGTGCTGTGAACATCAGAGACAAACAGTTTCTGGGCTTGCTGGCTGCCAGCCTAACTCCAGGATCATCTATGTCTCAAGAGAAAAATGTAGAACATGATGAAAGAGAAGACCTGATGTCCTCCTCTGGCCTCCACACATATGTGCACATATACCACACACACACACATGTACATGGTCACACAGCCCCCCCATACACACATTGAGTAAGTAAATAAATAGATTAATTAAATAAATGATATTTTGAAAAAATGAAAGATGGGGCTTTCTTAAATGGCTAATTGGGTGAACTTTCTATTGGCAATTTTATTATGACATCTTTCCCATCAGGTAAAAGTTGTAGTCATTTTTAAGGTACTGAAAATGAAAATCTCAATTGTGGTTTCTACTATTGCTTTGCACTGGGGTCAGTGGTTCTCAAACTTCCTAATGCTGCAACCTCCTAATATGGTTCCTCCTGCTGTGGTGATCCCAACAAAAACATTATTCTGTGGCTACTTCAGAACTGTTATTTTGCTACTGTTCTAAACTGTAATGTAAACATCTTATATGCAGGATTTGTGATATGTGCCCGTCCCCCCCACCCCCCACAAAGGGGTCATGACTCACAGGTTGAGAACCATTGCACTAAGTGAATGATGGTAGGCTATGTGGTAAAGATTGCTTGTTCCACTATTAGGCCATAGTTGCTAGAGTTCACATTGATTCAGGAAACCTTTCCTGTAGGAAAAAAATGCTTCTTAGGGGAAACTTTACAATCAGAAACTTGCTTTGTAAGTTATATGAAACACAACCCCTTAACAAATAGGTACTAATACCTTAAAAGTAAGAGAAGACACCAGCACATGGGCACATAGATACATGCGCGCGCACACACACACGATGTTAAGCAGAACACTGGGTGGAGGGTGGATCCCTTGAAATTTTGATCCATTAAAATAAGTTCTGTTATTTATTGGTTGATTTGAAGATTTCATGTTCATGAACCCCTGGGGCTTTTGTTAGTTATTGAAGGTCCCCCAGAATCATCTCTCTCTCTCATCTCTCTCTCTCTCTCTCTCTCTCTCTCTCTCTCTCCCCTCTCAGACACACACACACACACACACACACACACACACACACACCGTGTGTGTAGTAAGAGAAGGGGCTAGGAATGGAGGGGAACAAAGGGTCGAGTGGTAGGCGAGAAGACAGGGAGGAAGGAGAAGGAGCAGGAAAGAAACTAGGCTTCCATTCTTTCCAGACCTTGTCTACTATAGGATCAAATTACCTATGCAATCACAGATTTCATGGAAAGAAGAGAGATTTATGCTAGGAAAGAGAAGCAAGACCATCCACCCAAGAGCAGGGCACTGACATAGGACATATCTAAATACTTACAGTTACTTGTGTGTAAATAATGAGATTATTTACCAACCCAGTAAGAATTGCTGCTTCAGATTTTTACTTTTTTTTTTTTTTTTTTTTTGGTTTATCGAGACAGGATTTCTCTGTGTAGCTTTGGAGCCTATCCTGGCACTCACTCACTCTGGAGTCCAGGCTGGCCTCGAACTCGTAGAGATACGTCTGCCACTGCCTTAAAGGCGTGCGCCACTAACGTCCAGCGCTGCTTCAGATTTTTAATGTAATTGAGTCACCTTAGATTTCTGAATTGGGATGAAAGGGGAAGTCTTGGTCATTCAGAACAATCCTCTTCTCTGTAACTGATGGTACTTTTAATTACAAACACATTTTCGGACTTTGTTTTCAAGTTATTATGACTAAGTAATCTATCATCCCCCTCCTTCTGTATTTAGAAGCCCTCTGATGTTGTCAACCCTCTGGATCTGCGTGTGGACATCAGCTTGAAAAACCCTGGCACTAGCCCTGCCCTTGAAGCCTATTCTGACACTGTCAAAGTCTTCAGCGTGAGTGTGGCTTGCCCTTCCAAGTGGAGGTTGACTGACAGCTGTGGTATTAAAGACACTAAGGATGTAGCACTATGTAATGATGCACACAGTTCACAGGCATTTCAGATCCCCAAAGCAGATATTTCCTCTTCCCCACTCTGTTTTTGTCTCCAAGAGAGGTGCCAAGCCACTACAGGTGTTCAACAAAATTTCATGAAGAAATAAAGAATAAAACAGGTCAAATTGTACTCAACACTCACTTAAAAATTCAGATGCCTGTGAAATTGTTGGTCTCTCTCCATTATGTCTATTTTAATTTAGCTCCCCATAAACAAGTTATTACCAACCAGACATGGTGGCACACAACTTTAGTCCCAGCACTCAGGAGGCAGAGGCAGGCAGATCTCTGAGTTTGAGTCCAGCCTGATCTGCAGAGCAAGTTGCAAGAGAGCCAGAACTACATAGAGAACCCTGTCTCAAAACAGACAAACAAACAAAACAAACAATTGTCTTGAATTTTGTATTTTTCAATATTTTTCCTTTATAATTATGCTAACAACATACAGTCTCCTAAAACCAAAACTTTGTTTGGTTTTCCATAGTTTTGACGTTTATGCAAACAGGATTATATATATATATGTATATATATATATATAATCCTGTTTGCATAAACATTTGCATGTATACTAGTACA